TTTTAATTTAAAATTCCATAAAACAAAACTTATATGTACTAATTCTCACGAATATATATCTAATAAAACAATACAACATATATTTTTTTAATAGAAAAAACAAGACAATATTTATATAAATACCATCCAGTACATGGCACACTGAAATTATATGAAGTAATTGTAGCATTAAAAAATATAAATAATTCTAAAAAAGAGTGCATGGAGGTGTGAGTCCTTAAAAGGGCTCGTCTCTCTGGTTAAATTTGCTCTGGCGGACAGCACTTTACCTCTCTTTTCTGATTTTAAAAATTAAAAAATTGTTAAACTGGTGTGGTTAACTAAACACAAAGGATGAGATTCATGAGAAAGCTGGAGCCATGGGCTAACCATGCACAAGCCCCAGCCGGCGCCCTGATTTTTTTTTTTGGGTCTTAGTCAAGTATAAACTATTTTCCTGGTGACGTGGCAGAGGACCTAGGGAGTCGCCGACCCATGTTAGGCCAAGACCCACTCTTTTGGCCATTCTTTGTTAATTATCCGTAGACAAAGTTAATCTAAAAAACATGAATTTAAATCATTGGTTATTGTTTGTCGAGACACTTTGAGCCTATTAACTATAATTTTTTATCTTTTAGATCAACTGGGTACCATGATGATTATTCTTTCTTACTTTTTTAAATGAAAAAAATTAAATTTAAGTTTTATGACATGAATATCAAAAAGCAATTCACAATAATAATAAATACTAATTTCATCGTATGGTTAAGTCGAGAAATAAAAAAGAATTTTTTTTAAAATTTTTTTTTAATAATCAAATAAAAAAATTTATTTTTGTCTATTCTATTCTTCTCAACCCAAATATACAATTAGTGTCCTTTTTTTTGTTCCTCTTTTTTTTGAACATTAGGAAATTTGATAGAAGGAGATAACATTTCTCAACTTTGAACACAGAAAGATGCCAGGGCATGCATATGCACTTCTCTATCGCGGGTAATGACGCAAGTGCGAGTACTAACTTTAGATGCGTAACCCATAAACAGATTAACAAAATAAATGGCACATGAATACTTGCAAAGCATGACTTATGGTTCTCCTGATGTCTTTTTCTTTTGATGGCGTGTTGGTATTCACAAGGTGCTCAGCATAATGCCATTAGCTAAATTTTAGGTTTGAAAAGTAAATATGAGAAATAATGTATAATATAGGGGACATAACCTATTAGTTGATTCTAGATAGATCAATGCATAAATTTAATACATGAAATGTGGGTCATGCAATGTACACTCTTCCTTTTTCTCGCTGTCTTAATTTGATTTTTTTTATATGTATTTTAACTTCTATGTACGTATTACATAGTAGTAAAAAATGAAAGTTGAAATTATTTTAATCAAGTAAAATTAATTAACAAAAATTACAAATAAAAAAAGAAAAATTGTGATTTAATTACTTGTAATTTGAGGTAAGTGTACATAAAAATTTAAAATTTTAAAATGTGTGTATAATTTACTTGTGGTTTTGTGTATGTGTAAATAAAGATCTAAGATATCAAAATATGTATATAAAAACTTGATGTAAATAATCAATTGAAATTTCTTAAAAATCCCTAACTTAAAAAATGAAAAGAAAAGAAAAATAAAGGTATATAGGACAATTTCATATAATTTTAAGTGATTATGTACACCTAATATAAATTTTAAACCCTCATTTGTACATCTTAAAAATTTAAGTTTTTATGTCCATCCACCTCAAATGACAAGTATGTTACATGCATATTTTAAAATGTTGAGCCTTTTTATACACTAATCTTAAACCACAAGTAGATAAAATGTAATTTTCCCTTGAAAAAGTTCAATTTCCATTATTTCCCATTTTGTTAACAGTTAACAGAGATGCTCAGGTTTAAATGTGGTTGTGAATATTATTTACAAGTCACACCTGCCCATTTATAAATTGACAAAAATATTAATTTACGCTAGACTATCATGTTTATTAAATCAAATGCCACTACGCAAGCACTAAAAATAAAAGGTTAAACTCTTATTTTGGTCTTTAAACTATTATACGGACCCTCGAATTGGTCCTTAAACTCAAAAAAATTCCTAATTTGGTCCTTAAACTATTGTACGAATCCTTAAGTTGGTCCCTAAACTATTATACGGACCCCTGAGTTAGTCCCTAAACTATTATATGAATCCCCAATTTGGTTCCTACTGTTTACCGATTTAACCCCAACTTTGTCTTTCTATTAGATAATAGTTTAGAGTCCAAATTGAGGCGAAATTGTAAACAGTAAAGATCAAATTGGAGGTCCATACAATAGTTTAAGGACCAACTTAAGCCAAATTATAAACAATGAGGATCAAATTGGAGGTCTGTACAATAATTCAGGGACCAAAATGGAAATTTAACCAAAATAAAATAAAATAAACTAAGGGAACCCAAAGAAAAATTCACAACTGCGCCTTCTTTATAAAACATAGCAAAAACCATAAGCTCACACCTAACAGATCCATATATCCATGGCCTCTATTTCTCTCTACTTTGTTGCATTCCTAATCCTCTATGTTTTCACCAAACACTTTCTACACAAAATCCAAAACCTCCCTCCATGCCCGTTTCCATGTCTTCCCATAATCGGCCATCTGTACCTGTTGAAGAGGCCTCTCTTCAGAACCCTGACCAAAATTGCCCACCGAAATGGCCCCTTAGTCTTCCTTCAAATGGGAAATCGTCCGGTGGTCGTAGTTTCATCCCCGTCGACAGCGGAAGAATGCTTGACTAAAAATGATATAATCTTTGCCAACCGCCCTCGGTTGATGATTGCCGAACACATAGGCAACAACTGTAAGAGCCTCGCCTGGTCTCCTTACGGGGAACACTGGCGAAATCTCAGACGAATTACGTCCATAGAGATTTTATCAACATCCCGCCTGCAGATGTTGTCAAGCATACGTGCTGATGAAGTTAGATTGCTGATTCGTAAGCTCTCAGATCGTCAAGACAAGCCTGTTGAATTAAAGACAGTGCTATTCGAGTTGACCCTCAATGTGATGACAAGGATGATAGTCGGAAAGCCCTTTTACGGCGAGAATGTGGCGGATGTGGAGGAAGCCAAGAAATTTCGAGCGGCTCAAGATGAATTGATTGAGATTTTTTCTGCATCGAATTACGGAGATTTCTTGCCGTGGCTTAAATCCAAGAAGCTGGAAAGAAGGATGATAGAGTGTCAGAGAAACAGAGAGCAGTTTATCCTGAACCTGCTAGAGCAGAGTAGAAGAAAATTGAATAAAGATGGTGGTGGAGAGAGGAAGAAGACAATGATTGAGATGTTGCTGTCTCAACAAGAATCAGAACCGGAGTATTACACCGACGAGATGATCGGACAACTCATGCTTGTAAGATCTTTGATTTTACTCCTCCCTTGTTTCAAATTCCTATCACTCCAAATGTTCTTGTGATAATCTCGGAAATTCTCGTAGCTTCTGTTGTCTGCAGGAACAGAAACTTCGATCACCACCATGGAGTGGGCATTTTCGCTCCTTCTCAGCCATCCGGAAGTAATAAAAAAAGCTCAAAAAGAAATCGAAAACGTCGTGGGTCTTGATCGGCTGATCAACGAGTCAGATCTGGCTAAGCTTCCATACCTCCGGGGTGTCATAAGCGAAACGATGCGGATGTACCCTGCGGTTCCGCTATTATTACCGCATGAATCAACGGCGGAGTGCACGGTGGCAGGATTTCGGATTCCGGCTGGGACGTTATTGTTCATTAACGTGTGGGCTATACAGAACGATCCCAAGGTTTGGGAGGACCCGAAAATATTCAAGCCTGAGAGGTTTGAAGGAGTGGAGGGAACAGCGAGAGATGGGTTTAAGTTGATGCCATTCGGGTCTGGCAGGCGGGCCTGCCCCGGAGACGGCTTGGCGTTGAGAGTGGTAGGATTGACGCTTGGATCTTTGATTCAGTGCTTTGAGTGGGAAAGGGTTGGAGAGGAAATGGTAGACATGACTGAAGGATTAACAGCGATCGCCATGCCAAAAGCTCAGCCGTTGCAAGCCAAATGCCGCCCACGGGCCGCCATGATTAAGGTTCTTTCCCAAATATGAAAAGTACTCACTATTTCCACCACCGTAAAAACACTTTCAGTTAATGGATGTCATTACATATGGCAGCCAGGTTGCTTTAGTTTCGTTTAATGTTAATGTTGTTTCTAGTTCTTTTAGTTGCATACTTGCATTTTACATCATGTATGGACTTTTCTGTTCATGAACAACGAGCCTCCCCAAGTCCATAGGCCATTTAATTATTCTTAGCTTCTAGCTTATGATTTATGTGGGATTCGATATGGTAGGCTTTCTAAAATATTATAAACTATTTGTTTTTTTTTTTTCACAATTGATAATTGATATTAAATTTTTAATAATTGATAATTATTATTATTTATAATTTTAAATATTTAATTTATTTGATTAAAGTTGACAACCAATAATTATTTGTATAAAAACTAAAAAAATCATTTTTAAAATAATTAATTAGATAAAGTGAATTTTTATTTTTTTAATATTAATAAATATAAAAAAAAGTATTATAATTACATTTTTAACTTTGTTTAATTTAAGGAAACATAATAGATTTTTTTTTTTTTTGTAAAAAAATAAGAGAATTAATTTTTATAATTGGTATCATGACGACATAAAACTTGACCAATGCCAAGGTTTTCGTGTTGAAACCATCGGCTATGCAATTGTCTGGCTATTTTAATGCTTTAGCGATATACCAATTGATTTTTGTATGCTGTAATTAATATTTTTAAGGGAAGCATGCGTCATGCATGACGCATCACTGACTGCTCCATTGGTAACTATCAACCAAAGATCTACCAAAGACACTATGGCTGTGGAAATTAACAATTAAATAATCTCTTCTTTTTTCAATACAGCTAAAATTATATTTATGAAACACAGCCATATCACAGCTACATTAATTAGAAAATTATTATTTCATGGCAAGTATGGGGCTAGGAAATTTAGTTAGAAGGGACCAATATTATGTTGAAGATTTAAGTTTTTAAGAGTATTTTTTATAGTATTAATTTATTTTTTTCATTTTTTTATCAAAAAATTTATTTTTGGTACTTTTCATTGATATATTCTTAATAAAAATTAAAAATAAATGCATTTATTATATTAAAAAACAAAATATTACAATAATAAATCATACAATGATCAATTAAAGAATGAATAAAAAAGAAAAATGTGTTTATTAGTCGAATCTCTAAAAATTATGAGAAAAAACATCATAAAATTATACTGTTTTAATAAATTTGCATTGAAAAAAATAAAATTTATGTATTTTTATAAAAAAATACTGAAAAAATGCAAATTTAGAATTATTTAAATAGAGAATCAAAGTTTTTTTAAGGCACTTAATAGATAAAGAAATGTTTAATAACTACAATTCATAATTAATTAAATTGACACAAAATTCGTATTGCTTGAATCATATCTTTTTTTTTTTTTCAAATTAAACTCTCCATTTAGGTCCTAAATATTTTCTCTATGTTTTGAAATAGTCTTTAAAGTTCATACTATAAAAATAAATTTTTTAACAAATAAAAATTAAAATACCATATTAAGTTGTTTTTAAAAGTTTAGGGGGCGGCTGTCCCCCTTCCTTCATTGGTGCGGCAAAACCTATTTTGAGCCCCTCACCTTATTAGATTTGGTGATTTTAGCCTCCACCTTATACTATGACACTTTTAGTCCCTCACTTATTAAAATTGAAGAAAATTGAAGAAAATAACGCTTACTTTATAACATTTTGTTAGTTCTATTAACAAACTGTTAACTCTATTAGTTGACTATTAGTTGTCGAAAATCTTCTTTCAGTTAACAGAATTAACAGAACTAACTTTATAATATTTCGTTAATTTTGTTAATTGGCTATTAGTTAACTGTTAGTTGATAAAAATTTACTTTTAACTAACAGAGTTAACAGTCATTATAAAGTGAGGATTATTTTCTTCAATTTTAATAGGTAAGGGGCTAAAACTTATAAATCTAGTAAGATGAGGGGTTAAAAGTGTCATACTATAAGGTAAGGAGCTAACACCTTCAAACTCCGTAAGGTGAGGGTTAAAAATATATTTTTACCCATTGGCGCTCCGTCCTGTTTCATGGATAAAAATTACTTTCGCAAAGCATGAATAGGGATTTTTTTTTATAGGAAATGGAGAAATTATATTAAATAATAAGAAAATACAGAAGAATCTCCATAACAAGCATATAGCTTAAAGCATTATAACCTAAAAATAAAATTAGAAGTATAACCTACAACACTAGTAATAGATTTAAACTATACCCATGACAAATATAAATAATTAAGTAAAGAGAGTTATTTGCAACTAGAGATTGCGATTGCAATCACTATATAGGCTAAATAGGGCTACCAAAGTAGAAAGGAGAGTCACTATGACCATTAAAAGCTACTGGACGTCTTCACCTATTTATCCAGTTTCATGGGGAGAGTAAGAGATTCCAGCAACAAACAGTCCCCAACCTATAGCTTGCCACCCTATCTATTCTTGAAAATTAACCAAGAGGAAAATGGGTATAGACCCCCGTGGTGTAAGCATGTTCCCCATCTTTTCCAATCCTCTTCAAACCCTGTTTGCCAAAACTATTGAAGGGAACTAGAGCCTCTTTACCATCTTGAATGTTATTCTCTTCATGCAAATCACAATTGGCTTTAGCAACAACATCCTTTTCCTTTTTGCCAATCCTCCGTACAAACAAAAAGCACCCCAATTGTTGTCGAATACTCCCAATCATATTCCCAACGTTGCTAATCCTTTGTAAACCCTTGTTGGCGAAGCTCATCAAGGGAACTAGAGCCCCTTTGTCAACGTGAATAGCATAGTACCCATGTAGACAAGAACCGGAGTCACCCATAGCATCCCTGTCCTTTTGTATTCGATTACCAAATTGAAAATTGGAGTGCACTAGGTTCTCCAATGTAGATTGAAAGATGCTGCTGCCTTACCAAAAATTAGAGTGCACTAGGTTTTTCGAATGCAACCCTTGCCAAGATCCCATCTGAAATTGAAGATATGCAAAAGTAAGATTCTGACTAGGTGAATAAGAGAAACCCAACCCACCAGTGAGATCAATTCCCTCGTTACTTAGTTACAACTTTCAAAAATCAACAGTAGATGTAGATCGAAAGATGCTGTTGCCTTGTGGTCCTTAGGTTGAAGTTTCCAAAGCAAGACAATCAACTAAGAGGAAGGAAGAGATCAAGAGGAGGAAGGTAAGGGAAGAAGATAGTAGAGAAAGAAGAAACTCCTTGTTGGAGAGAAACTCTAGGGAGAAACCTGTTGTCGTCACCCTCAACCCTAAGCAGAGCATGAGAGAATTCCATTTCCCGAATAGAGATATTAAAATAAAAAGAAAAAAAGAAAAAAAGAAAAAGGGGGGAGCAGATCTAGGTTAACACTACAATAATATTAAAAAAGATGGTAAATAATTAACACGAATAACCTCTTAAGAAAATTAATGTTTATAAATTTCTATAATCAAACGTTATGGTGTTAGTAAACACCTTTCAATCTTCTTCAAGAATAAATCAACAAACTAAACAAGAAAAACGAAGAACAAAAAGAAGATAAAGAAAACGAAGGCCGCAAAAAGAGGTCACAAAACAAGGTGGTCAACGGGAAGCCGTAGGGCTTCCGAACGGCAAAGAAAAACAGAGAGCCTTGGAAGTTTCTGGTCATTTGGCAGTAAAGCTTTGCATCCATGGCTGCTTTTTTCTACTACTTTCTAGCATTCTTAGTCCTTTACGTTTTCACAAAACACTTTCTCCACAAAATCCGAAACCTCCCACCAAATCCGTTTCCATGTCTACCCATCATCGGCCATCTCTACCTCTTGAAGAAGCCTCTGTTCCAAACCCTGGCCGAAATTGCCCACCGTAATGGCTCCATATTCTTTCTCCAATTGGGAAGTCGCCCGGTCATCGTCGTTTCATCCCCGTCAACTGCGGAAGAATGCTTGAGCAAAAACGATATCATCTTCGCCGGCCGCCCTCGGTTGATGGTGGCAGAACACTTGGGCAACAACAGCAGAAACCTCGTCTGGTCTCCCTACGGCAACCACTGGCGAAGCCTTAGACGAATTGCATCCATCGAGATTCTATCAACGTCCCGCCTCCAAATGTTATCGAGCATACGCGTGGATGAGGTTAGATCACTTTTGCGCAAGCTCTTAGATTTCGAAGACAAGCCGGTTGAATTAAGAACAGTGCTGTTTGAGCTCACGCTCAACGTGATGACGAGGATGATGGCAGGAAAGCGGTACTATGGAGAGAACGTAGCAGATGCGGAGGAGGCGAGAAGATTTCGAGCGGCTCAGCTTGAGGCGAATAAAGTGGCTTCTGCAACAAATTACGGAGATTTCTTGCCCTGGTTTAAATCCAAGAAGCTAGAGAGGACCATGATCGAGTGTCAGAGAAACAGAGTTGGGTTTTTCCTAGAATTAATAAATCAGAGTAGGAGAAAAACAAAGATCAGTCGCAATGAAGAGAGGAAGACGATGATTGAGGTATTACTGTCGGTGCAGGATTCAGAACCAGAGTATTTCACCGATGAGATGATTGCAAACATCCTGCTTGTAAGAACCCCCTTTTTTTTCAATTTTACTTTGATTAGGTTTCAATAATTTACTAAGTTCTTTAATTTATCAACTTGGTGGCGACATGGGACTTGAATTTGTAGGATTAGATGCATATTGGGTAGCGTAGAATCAACAGTACTAACAATTTGTGCTCTGTTTCTTGTGCCCACCAACTGTTTGATAAAAGTCCTCTTTGAGTGTGTATTTAGGAGTCAAATCCAATATGTTTCGGTACTAATCACAAGATTCCTTGCAGAATCTATTGAGTGGAGGAACCGAAACTACGATAAGCACCATGGAATGGGCACTTTCACTTTTACTTAACCATCCGGAAGTACTTCAACAGGCTCAAAAGGAAATCGAGAACATGGTGGGTCTTGACCGTCTAATCGAGGAAGCTGATGTGGCTAATCTTCCATATCTCCGTGGCATCATAAGTGAATCAATGCGGATGTATCCTGCAGCTCCGCTGCTAGTGCCTCATGAATCAATGGAGGAGTGCAAGGTAGGGGGATACAAGATACCTACCGGCACCTTACTGTTGGTGAACGTGTGGGCTATACAAAATGACCCCAAGGTTTGGGAGGACCCGAGAAAATTCAAGCCTGAGAGATTCGAAGGAATGGAGGGAATGGCAAAAGATGGGTTCAGGTTGTTACCTTTTGGGTCGGGGAGGCGGGCATGTCCCGGGGACGGATTGGCGTTGAGGGTGGTCGGATTGACGCTGGGGTCTTTGATTCAATGCTTTGAGTGGGAAAGAGTTGGGGAGGAGATGGTTGATATGAGGGAAGGAACAGGGCTCACCATGACTAAGGTCCTGCCCTTGCAAGCTAAATGTCGCCCACGCGCTGCCATGATCAAGCTTCTTTCTCAAATTTGAAAGCACTTGTTCCTTCTAATTTGTGAATTGAAATAAATGGATTAAACTGTCGCAAAACCGTCAAGTGTCTTTTGTTTTAGATTTTTTTGGGTTCCATAGAAAAAATTAAAAATATCACTCATTGCACAAACTTGATAATTTAAGGACCTTATTTTGTCAAAAAATATCTATGTCCTACTTTATCAAATTGAAATAAGTTCAAGCCTTTTTATGTTTATTATTCCTTTTAATTTGAGGAAGAATTATACACATGGGTTGGTGGTGCCGTTGGCGAATAGGATAACCCAGGAGTTACTCACGAGTCATTCGAACCAAATTCGATTTGAGTTAAATGAGTTGAGTTTGTCTCTAATATTGAGCTTGATAAAAAAAAATAAACTTGATTTAAATTTAAATCAATACTCACAAATTATTTACGGGTATTTAATTTAAAATTTAAAATTATATTATATATTTATATGTGTCAATTTATATATATTATTTAAATATATAATAACTTATTATAAAATTTAGTTTGATTTTGAGTTTAACTTTATTGTATTTTTATTTTCCAACTATTGGCTTGCAAGACTTGGAAAAATATATATATTTTTTGGATGGTAGCGTATAATTTGTTGAATGAATTTTAGTTTAAATTTTTTAGAACTAATAATATGAATGTTTAGATGGGGTTTTAAATTATTTTTTTATTATTAAACTTTAATATAATGCTCTTATTTAAACTTTTGATATCTCAATATTTTAAAAAAATGTAAACATATTTATCGTTAGATAATTAGTTATTAAAATAGTTTAGAATTATAAAAAAAATAAAACTCGAATTCAATTTACAATACTCATTCAACTAGATTACTCAAGCTCGTACTTGATCTTTCAAGTAAGTTCAAACTTACTCGGATTCCTGTAAATTTAAGTATGAGCTCAATTATCTAAGGATTATCAAACACTTGAATTTAAATTTTTTAAATGAATTTACATACAAATATTTAAATACTCAATTTGACTCATTAACAGCCCCATAAATGGGTACTGTTTATTCAAAAAAATGTTAGAAAAAATTTGATACTAGGCCCATTAGATTTCAAGTGTAAACCGCAAGTTGTGGCTAATATTTTTAATAGCATTACAAAAATGTAATAATTATAATATTATGTGTTATTATAAATTTATAATATGATATATTATTATATAATTAATATTTTTTATTTAAAAATTTTTATTTATAATATTATATATATTAATTAATA